ACCTCTTAAGCTCCTATCTCTCACCATGCACAAAACTCAACTCAAAGTGGATCAAGGATCTAGAAATTAGATCAGAGACTCTGCTCCTAATAGAAGAAAAGTAGGCCCAAATCTTCATCATGTCGGATTAGAATCCGACTTCCTTAATAAAACTCCTATAGCGAAAGAAATAAAATCCGTCAAATAGGATGGATTCAAACTGAAAAGCTTCTGCTCAGCAAAAGAAACAATCAGTGAGGCAAAGATAGAGCCTACAGAATGGGAGAAAATCTTTACCACACACACACATCAGATACAGCATTCGTCTCTAGGATATATAAAGAATTCAAAATACTTAACACCAAAAAAAAAATAATAATAACCCAATCAATAAATGGGCCAAGGAAGTGAACAGATACTTCTCATAAGATGATATGCAATCAATCAACAAATATATGAAAAATGTTCAACATCTCTAGCAGTTAGAGAAATGCAAATCAAAACTACTCTAAGATCTCATCTCACTCCAGTCAGAATGGCAGCTATTAAGAATACAAACAACAGGGCTGGAGCTGGGGCTCAGCAGTGGCGCACTTGCCTGGCATATGTGAAGCACTGGGTTCAATTCTCAACACCACATATAAATAAATAAAGGTCTATCAACGACTTAAAAAAATATTTTAAAAAAGCATACAAACAACAATAAATGCTGACAAGGATATGGGGGAAAAGGCACACTTATACATTGCTGGTGGGACTGCAAACTGGTGCAACCATTATGGAAAGCAGTATGGAGATTCCTCAGAAAACCTGAAACAGAACCACCATTTGACCCAGTTATCCCACTCCTAAGTTTATACCCAAAGGACTTACTATAGTGAGGCAGCCCCATCAATGTTTATAGCAGCAAAAAAAACTATGGAACTAACTATGGAACCAACCTAGATGCCCTTCAATAGATGAATAGATAAAGAAACTGTGGTATATATACACAATGGAATATTATTCAGCATTAAAAGAGAATAAAATCATGGCATTTGCAGGTAAACGGATGGAGTTGGAGAATATCATGCTAAGGGAAGTAAGCCAATTCCCAAAAATCAAAGGCTGAATGTTTTCTCTGATATATGGATGCTGATCCATAATGGGGGGGGGGGGGGGGGAGGGAGGGGGGGGGGGGGGGGCTATAGATAGGGAGGGGGGGGGGGGGGGGGGGGAAGGGGGGGCGGGGGGGAGAAAAATTAGATAGGGGAAAAGGGGGAGGGAGGGGAAGTGAGGGGGCATGGGGATAAGAAAGATGGTGGCTAAGAATTGTAATGCAAAAATAAATAAATATTTTTTTAAAAGAAAGATGGTGGAATGAGATGGCCATCATTACCCTAAGTACATGTATAAAGACATGAATGGTGTGACTCTACTTTGTATACAACCAGAGACATGAAAAATTGTGCTCTATATGTGTACTATGAATTGAAATGCATTCTGCTGTCATGTGCAACTAATTAGAACAATTTTTTTTTTAAAAACTCATCCACTTCTGCCAGGACCCCTCTTCCCTCTTCAGTCTTACCTTCTGCCATTCCACCATTTTGCCTAAAAACCTTTTCTAATTTCTTGTAGTTCCCAGAATATACTCTCTCAAGGCCTGCCATCTCTTTATAGTCCATTGATCACCTGTGATGTCTTTTCTCCCTTTCCCATGGTAATACTTAGCCTTCAAATTTCTATACTAAGCTCTGCCACCTCCTTCCCCTCAGAAATCTCTCTCAGCACACACCCTCACTCTCATCCCTACTCCCTGGAAGCGGCATCCTCTCTTCTTCCATAGCACCCAGCACTTACTGACTGCACTTACTATTTAAAATAATAACTATTTATTTACATGTCTATATGCCACCAAATTAGGTTCTCTAAAGTCAGGAATTTCAGTTTAGCTTAACTTTGCAGCCCCAATGCCATGTCTCATACAGTGGTCCCTCCATAAATGCTTGCTGAATAAACAAAATAAAAAACAAGGAAGGCTGAAGGCCAGATTGGATTCTGGTTCTTCAGGATTGCCATTAAGATGTGGAGTCTCTTTACAACCTCTTAACTTAATACTAATAAATTCACAATTATCACAATTCCTGTAATTAGATGATTACTGACAGCCAAAGTAATTACTGAAATAGCAGAAACCAATTCATTATTATATTCTTGAAACCAAACAAGGTTATTTCACCAAATACTTCCTCTCTGAAGCAAAATGATACAACTTGAAACTAGCTGCTACACTATCAAGATTATGCCTTCCCTAGATCAAATGTGCAAACCACAAGAGCAATTTCACCCTTAAAATAAGTGGGAAAAATCCCTCAACTACAAAGACCCATCCAAAAGAAAAGATGGGGGAGGGGAGGAATGGTAGGTCTCATGATGAGCATGATTATCTGAAGTTACGTTATTAAGCAACAAAGAACACTGGTAGATGTGGCTGACATCTTCACTGTCAAAATGCAAGAGTATCCTTTTAATATCCAGCTGTACAGCTCCTTTTACATACTTCCAAAATGGTATTCTTTTCCATTTTCATTCCTTCAATATTTATTAAGTACCTCTTCTGTTCACATTACTGGGCTTAGACCTTGATTATTCTGAACAAGACAACTATCAGCCTGCCCTCCTAGAGCTCATGTTCTAAAAGAGAAAGCAGACAATTAACTAATGATTCAGCCTGTTTAAAAGAATTGTATTAAGTACCACAATGGAGAATACAAATGTTAAGAGGGATGTAACATAGAATTCATGCCATGCTTTCTTCTGTACTAAAAATCAATTACCTTGCAGTTTCTTACTAGGGAAACCTAATTACCCTCCTGTGTGTGCATTCCTTTCAGTAGCTATTCAATGTAACTGCCAGCTTTCCAACTGTAGCTCTCAGGTGTACCTCTAGGGAAGATAAAGAAATTAAACTGGTTCAAAAGTAATTTTTCCACAGCTGCTTTTATAGTATTAATTTTTCTCTACATCTCTTTGCTTTATTATGAAGGGTCACACCAGGGAATTAAAATCTCTTTTGAGTGTTTTGACTCTTTACCATTTGTGGTGGGGAAAAGAATGTTTTAATTCAATGAGCTTATAAAGCACTTACTATCTGAAGACCACACAATGGAATGCAATGACAGAAAGAAAAGATCTCTGTGTGCAATTCACATTCCAGCAAAACTGACCACACATATTCTTCCTTTGGACACCCTTGGATTCATATTTTTAATATAAATATAGTACTGAGTACAAAACCCCTTACTAGAAGAATAGGTTATAAATTTGTGCTCTTTTTTTTCCAAGGAAGCCTCGCTGTAACTAAAATAACATCAACAAATTGTATTTTAGTGAACATTGGACACTTGCTAAATTGACCTTTGTTTTCTGGGACATAGGAAATCTGCTGTCAGACACAGGAACTGAGTAAAATATGAGAACAGGGAAAGAGATAGGAACAAAAAACTTACACTGGTAAATTAGGGCATCTGTCTAGCTGAAAAAATATATCTAGAGAAGATATATTTCTTATAAGAAAGGAAAAGGGAAATTCCCTCTTAGACAGTGTTCCAAATAAAACAGCTATCTTTATTATTCTGAAAGTCAGTAAGGAAAAAAATATTTTACATGTCAATATTTACAATGCAGAGCAGATAACAAAAAGGGGGTAGAGCTTAAAGCAAAACAGAGGTATCTAGGTTAAATAGTCTTCTGAAATGAAAGTTGTAAAACCCTGCCCTGAGTTACCAAGGCAGCTCTGGAACCTCTTCCCACTTAAAATTTTAAGACAAGTCATCACCTCAGTTCAAAATGGTGTAGCACAATATTGCTCAAAAGCAAAGAAACATTAACTGGATGGCTTTCTACAGCCCTTTACAGTTTTTTCTATCCCAGTTAAACAAAATCCATTATGATTTTTCCAGTAATCCATCCATTCCACAGATGTTTACTTATTAGGTGCCTAGTACTCGAGTAGCACTGTGCTCAGGCCATGGTGGTCCACAAAATAAGTCTCATTACTCGGGCATTACATTCTAATGAAGAGACACACTAAAGAGTAATTCCAAAACAGAACATTCAAGGAGAAAAGGGGCGCTTCAGGAAGGCTTATCTGAGGAAGTAACATTTAAAGCTGTGACGATAAACATGTAACAAGGATGAAAGGTTAAAACTCTTATTCCAGGTTTGGGCAAAAGGTTAGCAAAGTCATTCATTGATACAGAGGAACTAGATTTCGAAAAAAGCTTAACAGCCAGAATTTACTGGGCGCTCATTATGTGCCAGGCACTTCTCAAATCCTTATAATCACTTTGCAGAGTAGGAACTATTATTCCCTGTTTACTAGCAAAAAAAGAGAGGGCTGAGTGGGGTTAAAATGACTTGTCCAGGACCAAATAAAGAAACTCTGACTTCAGGTTTACATGTATTCGAAAGCAGCGTTCTTTCCACTATACAATCCTTCCTGTGCACATCTATTTCATCTGGCAGCCCCACCGCCACAAGCCACCACTGAGGAAGCCTCTTTCCTGGGAGCAGAACTGGAATGCACCCACAGTAAGGCCTCGGTAAGTCACTCCCCCTCCCGGGGCCTCATCCAAGAGATGATCATCTCCATCTCTGAAGTTGTATGCAAGAAAGGCAGGTAGAAAGTTCATTCAAACGAAGACAATTCCAACACAGAAGGAAACAGAATCCTTTCTGGGGGCTTAAAATAATAATGTCATAATTATTATTATTAAAAATTGATAACTGTCGCTCCACTACAGTTGAGCGCTCTTCTGAGGAAAAGAAAATCTCCGGGGAGGGCGCCGTGTCAGGGCAGCGAGCTTAAGATGCTCCCACGCTCCCCGACCCCGGCGCCGGGATTCACAGGACCCGGCAGTAACGCCCGCCAGCGCGCCCCGAGCCACGCGGCACAAGGTGACACGGACCTCGCCAGCCCCTCAGCTGCCTGGGCGCGGCCACAGCGAGGGAGAGGGGCGTCCGCCGGCCCACGCTACCTTGTATTTATCAAAGCCAGCCAGCTGCTCCGGGCTCACGTATTCGTAGCCGGCCATGGCGACCCGAAAACCCAGCGCAGCAACTCTCCGCGACGAGACGGTGAAACACCAGCACCAAAGCGGCTGGGCAGGACTAGGAAAGACTGGGCTGGGAAAGAAGGTAGAAGAGCCGCGCTCCGCCCACCGCGCACGCGTAGCCGCCTCGGCCACTTCCGCTGCCCTAACACGCACGCGCGGCCCTTGCTTCTCCCCGCCCACCGGAGAAGGGGCGCTGCCCGCTCGCGTGGCCCGCCCCATAACGCCGTCTCGTCCCAATCAGTGTCGATCAGGCAACACTAAGTCCCGCCTTCCAGCTCTCCTCGTCGTTTCATTTGCTAGCGTCAAAATTGGTGAGCTGAGGTAAATCAGGAGGGGAGGTGAAAGGTCAACTTCCCAGCGGACCTTGTTCTTGTCACTTCGGGAGGCGCGCGTATTTTGGGTGCGCACCTGGGTGGATATCTGGAAACCCTCTTAGTCCTAGGGGAAGGGGAAGTGCATGCGAGCCAGTGGAGGAAAGAGGGTGTAGTTCGCTCGCTGCGTTGAAGTAAAAGAGCACAGAAAGATCGGTGCCAAAGCTCGCTTCCATCACATCTCCTGTTATGATGCGCTGCGTGCAGTAGAAGCTCAATGAACACGGTTTGATGTAGGGAAGGCTGAGTTACGGTCTGTAAAAGGACTTGAAAAGCCGTTTTATCAGAGTTGCTTCCGCTTGATCTGTTAATTCAGATTGCTATTGTTTCCCACCCAGATAAAATCAGTGTTAACAGTCTCAACGGGATTTGACATGCGTTTGCAAGAAGTGTTTTTAGAAAACTGGAGCCCAGTTAATTGTAGGAAGAACACGAGATCAATGGCTAGTGTGTCTCTAATAAAAGTAAATTTTAAAATAGTAAATAGTAGTAATTGTTGCTACTTTTATTGAGTGCCTTATATGCGGAGGTTTTGACATATATAATCACTGATCCCTTAACAACACTGTGAAGTGGGAGGTATTTTCTCCATTTTGTAAATTAGGAAATTAAAATTCAGATTACAGGAGTGTGAGGTGTTGCTGAATGCTGGAGTTGTTGACTAGCATGCCTGAGGCCCTGGATTCAATCCTAGCACCTCTACCATACATATATTGTGCCCTAGTCAAGGCAGCTGCCCAGAATCACTTACCATTGTACTTATTGTTCCCTCTGACCTCTACACACACACACACACTTGATCTCCCTGGAATACTGGATTATTTGTAAATCCCCAAGCTACTCTAACTAAATATGCAAACCTTCTATTCATTTGTTCATGCTCAGTGAACTCCTCAACCTTCCAAATTTGTTGGGGGGTGGGGGCATAGGAACTGAACCTGCCAACCTTTTTTTTTTTTGAAGCTGAGTCTGGCTAACTTGCCATGGCTGACCTCAATCTGAGATCTGCCTGCCTCCAGAATAGCTGGGATTATAGGCATGTACCACCATGCCCAGCTCAGTTTCATTTCTTAAGAAATCTATGTCCTAGTTCCCAGCCCACATCTACCTCTCCCCACTAGAGTCAATTTCATTATTCTGTATTTCCACAGCAGATTTATAAATTATAAAATTATCTATTTTCTCATCTGGCTTACTGGAATGTAAGTACCTTAAGGGTGAAATCCACATGTGGGGCTGGGGTTGTGGCTTAATGGTAGAGTGCTCACCTAGCATGCACAAGGCAATCGGTTCGATCCTCACACCACATAAATGTAAAATAAAGATATTATGTCCATCTAAAAAACTAAAAAATACAATTAAAGAAAAGAGTCTTAGGATTCTCAAAACAAACTCTTAAAAAGAAAAAAAAAAAAGAAAAAAATTCCACATGTGTACACTCCTGAATCTACTCAATAAGCCCTCAGTAAACTTTTGTTGAAGTCAGTTGAACTATGAGAGAGTAAAGCAACATACTGCTGGCACCCACAATTGCTATAAAATTATTCATGCTCATTGACCTAGTAATCCCACTCTGGAAGAATATACTTTCAGGAAAAAATCTGAAAGAAAAAAAAATCTTTGTTGCAAAAATTTATGAAGAGCCTGTGATATTGTGAATTGTGTGTCTTATTTGCTAATGAAAATATTGGTGGCTGAGGAGTTAGGTAGCTTCACAGTAGGAGCTGGTCACCAGAAAAAACAAGGCATAATTTAGGGAATTGGGACTTTCAGCCAGACATGGTGGCTCACACCTGCAATCCTGGAGACTCAGGAGATTGAGGTAGGATCCCAAGTTCAAGGCCAGACCGGACAACTAACTTAATGAAACTGTGTCTCAAAAAATAAAACTCTGGAAAAGCGCCCCTGGGTTCCATCCCTAGTGCCAAAAAAAGGGGGGAGAGGTTAAGTCTTTCTGCTCCCCACAACCTTCAGGATGTGAGGAGCTGAAAGTTAAACTGATCATCAGTGGCCAATAGATGCAATCAATCATGTCTATGTAATAAAACTTCTATAAAATCCTGAAAGGACCGGGTTCAGGGAGCTTCTGGATAGCTGAACCTGTGGAGGTTCCTAAGGGTGGCGTGTCCAAAGAGGGCACTGAATCTCTGTGTCCCTTCCCAGATACCTTGCCCTATGCACCTCTTCCATCTGTTCATTTATATTCTTCATTATATCCTTTACTAATAAACCAGTAAAAGTAAGGATTTCCCTGAGATGTGTGAGCTACTCTAGCAAATCAATTGAAGCTTCCAAGGAAGGGGCCTTGAGAATCCCGTTTTATAGGCAGTTGGTCATATGCACAGGTAAAACAACTTGGGGCTTGTGATTGACATTGGAAGTTAGAGACAGTCTTATAAGACTGGGTCCTAAACCTGGGATCTGACATTGTCTCCAGGTAGAAATGTTAGAATGGAATTAGAAGACACCCAGCATGTGTCTGCTACAGAATCTGCTATAGAAATGATTGTTTGTTGTATGGGGGAAAAACCCCCACATATCTGTGTCAAAGGTATTAATTGTTGAGTGAGAAACAGGAAAAACCAAAGTGTTGGGTTTTTTTTCCTATTTCACAACAGTGAGCCATATTTATAATTACAGAGGGAAAATGTAGGCAATCAATCAAATATCCAATTAAATAAGAACTGAAACTATAAACTGCAGTGAATTTATGTGATTAAAATACATAGTCATCAAAAAGATAAACAAGTGTTGGCAAGAATGTAGAAAATTGGAATCTTCTTGTGTTACAGGTGGGAATATAAAATGTTACAGACTCTATGGGAAAATGTTTGATAATTTTTCAAAAAGCTAAACAGAAGTACATTATGATTCATGCAAAGCCATGAATTTAATCCCCAGTACCACAATAAATAAATAAATAAATCACCTTGTTATCCAGCAATTTCCACTCCTAGGTACATATCCAAAAACCTGAATATGAATTGGGAACAATACCCTGAACACTAGTGCTTTGTCATGATGACAGTGTTGGAAACTACCTCAGAATCCTGGTCCCTTTGTCCATCCCTTGGTTCTCCATGTCCCAGTGTGCATGGAGGCTTTCTGCAAAGGTCCCTTACCTGCCTAAAGTCCAGATCTTCCAAAGAAGAAACAATTACTTATATCTATCCCTTTTGAGTTTTCATTAACAAAACTCACATCACAGGAAAAAAGAATGACTTTTGTCACACAGCATTGTCCTTTATTTCAGTCCCGTGGACAATTAATTTTCCATTCTACAGACTAAACAGATTTTGTTCCAGGGCATTGTATGTTTTCTAAGCCCATTGAGTTCCCTAAAAATCATTTACTGTCCTCCTAACATTACTTATTCTCCCTCTTCCCTATGGAGAAACGGGAGGGCTGGAGATGTAGCTCAGTTGATAGAGTGCTGGCCTCACATATACAAGGCTCTGGGTTCAATCCCCAGCACCACAGGAAAAAAAAAAAAAACGGAAAAGGAGTATGTAGGCTTCTTAGTAATTTTGGGCTAGTGGGTAATCATAGTTATGTGATTTTCCTCCATACAGTGATAACTTGCAAGTTATCAAACCTGAGGAAGAGTTTGTGGGATTTAGCAGGTTGGTCGGAAGCACAGGGAACCACCTATACGTGTAGTTGGTGTCTGAATTAGCAGAACTATAGGATCTGACACTATTTTGAGTAGATAGCATCAGAATTGAATTAAAATGTAAGATACCCAGTGGCATCTGCTGAAAAGTGGAGAATTGCTTGCTGTGAGGAAAAAAAAAATTTGGTGACCACTTTGTGTGTGTGTGTGTGTGAGTGAGTGATTAGGAAATGAGTTTTTCCCCACTCACTCCCTAAAGGTGACTTCAAAAGACTGAGGAGGATCTGAAGGAGGACCACAGGCACTGGATTCTGTCTGGGAGAAACTATCTAACCCTGATGGAAAGACCTCTCCCTCCATTTTCTCCCAACTTCAGTTGGGCCCTTCAAGCTGTCTTGACATTCCTTCTGCCCTCATTCTGATTCCAGAGTGAGCAATGTGGACAGTTGTTCCCGCTCTAATCACTCTGCCCCTTTTACTGACTTGCTCCTAAGCAGGAGATCCCCATCACTGTCCCACTGTAGGGTGGGGCCTGATGCCAATGTGAGGAATGTACCCTGACCATTTATAACTAGGTTTCCCCCCCTAGAGTCATATGTTGTAGAAAGATGTGCGCTTATCGGCTCTGGTGAAAAACAGCCTATCTGAATTCCTGTGTGCTGGCCAGGAGGAGGGGGGGACCCCAGCACACTCCACCACAGGAAGGGGACTGTGGTGCCCATCAGGAACTTACTTCCTCTGTGCATTTTGACTGTTGGACGTGTGTGTGTGTGTGTGTGTGTGTGTGTGTTAAAGTCAACCCGGTCATTTTGTCTTCAAAATTAAAATCTTTCCAATTGGAAAGGGGAAAAGGAGAAGACATCTATCTATGTATCTACGTAAAGAGGCATATATTGCATCCATAAACGTGTTTAGAGGAACAAGCACAAGGATGAATCAAATCCTCTCTTGTGAGTCAGACCAAGAATAGACCTCCTTATCCCTCTTTAGTATTCGTTATCATCACCTTCTATTTTAACTATAACTTATGGAAAGTAGTATATTTGATATACTTAACAACCAGCACCAAGAATTAACAGATGTTAATCA